CTTTGCCGCTCTTTCCCACAGCATAATCCCAGAAAAACTGGCTGCTCATGGTTTGAATGGGCATACCCTTTACTGGGTAAAAAAAAATGGCTGGATGGCCAAGCACAAAGAGTGGTGGTGAATGGAGTTAAATCCAGTTGGTGGCCTGTCAGAAGTGGTGTTTCCCAGGGGTCAGGACTGGGGCCTGTTCTGTTCAATACCTTTATCAATGATCTGGGTGAGAGGATCAAGTGCACCCTCAGTATGTTTGTGGATGATTTAAAGCTGGTTGGGAGCATAGATAAGCTTGAGGGTAGGAAGGCTCTTCAGAAGGATCTAGCCAAGCTGGATCAATGGGTCTGAGGCCACTTGTATGAGGCTCAGTAACGCCAAATGCCAGGTCCTGCACTTCGGTCACAAGCAGCCCAGGCAATGCTAGAGGCCTGGGGAAGAGTGGCTAGAAAGTGCCTGGCAGAAAAGGACCTCGGGGTGCCGATTGACAGCCAGCTGAACATGAGCCAGCATGTGCCCAGGTGGCCAAGAAGGCCAACAGAGTCCTGGCTTGTACCAGCACCAGTGATAATGGCTGGACTCGACCTTAAAGGCCTTTTCCAGCTGAAGTGATTCTATGGTTCTATAAGTTGTGATTTTTAAGTGTCTTGAAATTGCCTGTAAAGCAGACGACTTGAAGGTGATAACCCAACTTCTGTTTAAGAAGGGTCCCGTGGAAATTGCCAGAGTACGAATTCCAATGTCACAGAAAATATGAGGTATAGTGGGAAGTGGGAAAAAAAGAACTTGTGGACACAATTAATTAAACTTACCGAAGAAGTGTTAAAACAGCTTTTTAAAGTGAAGTCATGCTTTTAAAAGTACGATATGTTTTGCTGTTCTTCGAGAAAAGTGACATATGTGTAAGCAGATATAGCTGATTTTAAAAAGTTACTTGAATTTACAAAGTGTTTTCTTTGGAAGATGGAAGACAAAGAGAGGAGTGGAGTAAACACTTACCACAACAGTGGAAGAGTGTCATTAAAATTCCACAGGGACTTCTGCTGTGTGCCATATTTTTAAGTGACTCAGACTGGGGTCACAAGCTTAAAAGCTTTATTGCCGATACAGATTTATTACAGTGGGATGGACTGAAAACTGTCACTATCCCACTTTTCCCTAGAAAGCAGTTTTGCGGGAGGACCTGGGGTCCGAGTGGACCCCCAGCTGAACACAAGCCAGCAGCAGGCCCTCGCCACAGAGGCGGCTATGGGTGTCCTGGGCTGCCTGAGGAGGAGTGTTCCCAGCAGCTGAGGGAGGAGATCCTTCCCCTCTGCTCAGCACTGGTGCAGCCATACCTGGAGTACCGAGCCCAGCCCTGGGCTCCTCAGTACAGGAGAGACATAGATGCTGTGGAGAGAGTCCAACAGAGGGCTGCAAAGATGAAGAAGGGACTGGAGCATCCTCCCTGTGAGGAGCAGCTGAGAGAGCTGGAACTGTTTAGCCTGGAGAAGGCAGCTCAGGGGGGATCTCATCAGTATGCACAAATATCTCAAGGCGTGGTGTAAAGAGGATAGAGGCAGACTCTTTTCAGTGGTGCCCAGTGACACGACAAGAGGCAACAGACACAAACTGGAACACAGGAGGTACCTTCCATCAGGAAGCAATTTGCACCGTGAGGATGTTTGAGCACTGGCACAGGTTGCGCAGGGAGGCTGTGGAATCTCCACTCCGGGAGATACGCAAAAGCTCTCTGGACATAGTCCTGGGCAACCTGCTTGAGCAGGGGTAGGACCCCATCATACACTGCTCTGTCCTTCCAACCTCAGCCATTTTGCAATTCCATGATTTCCTCTGCAGCCAAGTCAATAGGCTGCAAAACAGCAAGTATAATTCAAAACAGATGAAGATGAAGCAATGTAGAGGGGAAAAGGGAAATTAGAGTATTTGTCCTGGTTTGGCTCGGATAGGGTTGGTCTTCCCCTGCAGTCGGGTGGGAGCTCTAGCCAGGCAGACAGCCGGACCAGCCGGGGGTTATTCGCTGCCATGCTGACCCCATGCCCACAGCAGCAGGGCTGGGCCGGGGCCAGGGGCGGGTTCCAGGACGGGGGCTTCTGGGTCCAGGGGGTGCATCCAGAGCCCATGCAGAGATCTCCATCCTTGTACCCTTTGTTATGTATTGTCATACCTATTGTTACTGCTGTTGTTTACTGTTCCTTCTGCACTGTTGTATTACACTCTCCTCATCTCAGCCCATGAGGGTTTGTATTTTTCTCCTGTGTCTCCATCTCAGTTGGGGGGGTGGGGGATGAGTGAGCGGCCACGTGGTGCCTGGGGCACCACACAGTATTGTAACAAAAACTACTGTGAAAAACGTCTTCTCAGCAAACATCAACATCAAATAGCAAACTTAATTTTTGGAATTATTAGCAGATTCCTAGAGAACATAACAAGAAACATCATCAATCTTACCAAACTCAGTTAGTCCTGCCACCTCATAAATTAAAGCTTAATTTACATCTCAAATGCTGTGTAAAATTTTGATTTTTTTTTTTCATTCAGTTGTGGCCTTCTTGATGGGAAAAGAGTTTTGAACAAGAGAAACAGGGATTACTAAGTTTTTTGAACAGATTCAGTCCAAAATATCTAAGACCAAACCTCTTCCACATGGAAGAGAGATACTGAAGGAAAGACAATGTCTCAAATCTTCAAAGTTGAATGAGGGTTGATCTCCCATAAAGGCAGTAAGGGCAAATGAAGCTATCAGGAAGCATTTAAAACCTCCCCCATACCCCCAAACCCATATTAAAGCAAGTAGTTCTTCACATAATTCTAGCTCCAGACTTTATAGAGAGTATCCAATTAAGGCTCTTGACCATGATGACACAGAATCCTGTGGATGCTAAGTCTTTACATGTGTCCAAAGGATGATTCAACAAATTCACACACAAAGAAATTTGCTCGGCTTAAAACGCAAGTCAAAAGTATCACTCTGTACTTGCCCTGTGTTGTGGTTTGAGACTTGGAATGGGGTCGTGACCTTCCAGCAACTGGGAGGACCCCGGGTGGGTGTGAAACCATTGTATTCCCTCCCCTTCCCACACACACTCTGATAAGAGGCAGCGAGTTGGTTCTTATTTCACTCCTGCCTTGGAGCTCGGAGAGGAAAGTTCTCCTTTCACTCCGTGGGACCCTGGAACCATTTCTGAGGGTTTTGTATCGTTTGTATTATTCCCCTAATCTTTGTATATAATATTTTCCTTACCTCCCTTTTTCGTTTTCTGTTCCTTGTTGAACAATATACTTCATTTTTTTTTTTTTTTTTAAAGTCGCTCTCTCTCTCTCGAGGCGGGGGGGGAAGAGGCGAGTACATAGTTCTGTTCTGTGTGGGTCCTGCCCTGAACCCCTTTTTACACGGAACCAGGACACCCTGTTCTGCCAACGTCACACATTTTTGGTCTGACTTTCTACAGCAACTGTTACACCATCCCAGCAATGCAGTGGCAGGAAAACATTCATACCACTGCATCATAAAAGGAATTTATGATAAAAATGGTAAAAATTCTACTCATTGCAGTCTTCAAATGCAAATACAACAGTTTATCAGCTGGAGGGAGCCAGAGCAGAGGATTCAACATTTTCTACTCCTACTTTTGAAGATCTCTTTCAAAATCCATTCTTTAAGAAGAGTGTGGTTTCCCAGTTATCGTATGGGTCTAGCCAAATTTTAACTCTAACCTTTCAGGAAATCGCTAGAACTTGCAATGTACACATTACCTCTGCACTCACCTGCAGGTTTCACCTCTGAAAAAAACGTTCCAACTTTTTTCCCTTCCACAATATCTGTGATGACATGGCCTGAGATCTTTGGGTGGGTTCCATTTGCAATCACTACAGAGGTGCCTCCTTGGAGGGCCCACAGTGCTGCTTTCACCTGCAGTGAAGGATACAGCCAGTTCCAGGAAATTCACATTACTTGAATCACCACCCTCAGCAAGACTTCTTGCACAACTTTGATCTCCAGATTGATAACCCACCCTTTCAAAGAGCATTCAAAGCACTTCAGGAATTTCCATAACATATCATTGAACAAGATCATGTATTTACACTTAATCTTCCCTTCCTTAGGTAGCTGCCACTTTATAAGCATACTTCAAATTTTCCCGAGAGTCTGCTTTTTTCAAGATTTCTGCAAGGGCATTTTGGTCATATATTCTTTTTCACCATTACCTTATGTTGCAAGTTCTTCACATTGTTTGAAAAACCCCAACTTTCTTTTTTGAAAAGATTCTGTTGCCAATATCCCTGACATTGACCAGCCATCAATAATTAATCCACTTCAAGTGACTGCGTGATATTACTCGTACAGTGAAGCACTGTTCTTGCTCAAGCCCTAGCCATTACCATATAGCATTAAAATATTATCCAATCCTTTTAGTTACCTGCACTACTCCCCTGAAGTTTGATCAGCCTTCTCTTTTTGACTCAGCACTCCTCGTGGGTCTGGTTAAGATGTATTCTCATTGTTTATAACCCTTTGGCAAAGCTGTGAAGTTTGCTTAGGACTAATCAGTACATGGGGATTTCAAAGAACCCATGTACTGATTAGTCCTAAGAGTCCCAGGTGTCTTCTTTCCACACACCTGAGCCACTGTTTAGGGCACCACAGTATGATTTTTCTAAAATTTCCCCCTCTCCAATATTTCACTGGTTCGTGCCAAAATACAAAAACACAAACCCAAATCCCAGCTGTTACCTGTGGAAGAGGTACTGTCTGTGGTCTCCTTCATTCCTTTTCCCAGTGAAGGTATGGGCAGCATTATCTCACCACTATAATTAATTGTGTCATTTATTTTACTTCAAAAACTTCTCTGCTTTCACAGTTCTACGTTTTCCTAATATGGTTCCACAATGAGGTATTACAACCCATATTCACTGGGAGACACCGCCTGTCAGATATGCTTATCACATCAAACTTGACTACAAGACTACCAACTCCTCCATTTTTGCTCAGATTTCACGCTGATAATCAAGATTTTTAGTTCCACCTACCATCTCTTTATTCTATTATTGATACAGTTTTCCAAATACATCACCCAATTCTCAGCTGTAACAACTAAGTATTGAGATTTGCAACCACATGACTTAAGACTTCGTGATACCAAGCACCTCTAAAAGATTATTATTTTTTCAATATAAGTACTTTCTGACCTTGGCAGGTTTCCCCTCAGTACCTGGAATTGTTTAAACTATTCCAGAAGTCAGATCAAGGCAAAGTTGTTTCTAAATAAGCTCTGTCCATCACATAGTTACAACAGAACAGTCAAATGCCTCTTCCTTTTGCCACTTTCCAGTCCATGCCCTAATACTGAAGCATGCCTTACCTGAGTCTTCAGAAAAGGAAATAACTGGTGAAGAATTTCACTT